AGGAGACACACAGCCACAGCATCATTTCTCTAACTGATGGAAGGTTGATGTGTCTGCTGATTTACAAGATGAGTTTGATGATACCAACTTGAACTCTCCATTCTTGCTACACAAGCCTTCACCGGGAGGACGGTAGTGTCACGAGGAAGGGCTAGAAAGGTACTAGGATGGGGTGAGTGCTTTGCTCCTAGCAGCCTCGGTGGTTATCCCTCCTCCTTTTCCAGTTGGAATGGAGCCTCAGTGTCCAGATTTGGTCTCCAGGAGACATGTTCCAGAGTGAGATATAATGACATTCATTGCCACACAGAGCTTGTGCCCAGCTCCTCTGTGGCTTGGAATGCATTTCCCAGCTGCCCTCAGATACAAACTTCATACTCTTATGGGCAAACCTGCAAAACGCTCTCCTCCATCCAATCCCCTTTCTGAAATTGGAACCGCCTCCCTCCAGCTATAAGGACCATACCCCAAGTGGAAACTTCAAACTCAGAATTCCACAGCCAGCCAGGATGGTTTAGGTGTGTCTCTGCGAGAGGGCTTCTGTGACACAAGGTCGGTGGCCCCTTGAATGGTTAGGCCCTTAACCTTCGGATACGAGGGCAGCCCCGGGTGGCCGAGCCCATCAGGCCTACCCCAGGCTCTAGTGAGGAGTCTGTTGGCTGTCGAGGGCATCTGAGGACATTGTTGTGGGGCAGGCATTTTGGGATGTGTGCAGCTCAGTGGAAGCAGGAAGAAATGTAAAGAAGTAGTGGGTGCTGGCAGGGAATGAAAGTCCTAGAATGTAAGAGTTGGATGAAACATAAGAGCTCATCTAGTCAAAGCTCTTCATTTTACATATGAGGAAACTGAGGCACTGAGCAGGGAATGTGACTCACCCTCAGTCACACAACAAGATGGAAATAAAGCCGGGGCTGGAAGCCATATCTCCAGAGGCCTAGCCCTCTGCTTTTTTTTCCTCCTAGAGTATGCTGCCTTCCAAAATCAAATATAGAGCCTGGGAAGACATGTCTTTCATATTTAATCTGCCATTAAAATGCTGCATTTATAAAAAATAACATTTAACCCTGAAAAATACTTCATTAAAACACAGCACGCTTTCTTGGAAATACTCCAAAGTTTCCCAGATTCGGAGAGGATGACAGGAATGTATGTGGGAGGTAACATGTCAGCTCTTCTCAGAGCAGGTGCTTACTAGGGTCCAAGTGATTGGCAGCCCTTTCATATTACCTTGGGTCAAGTCCACAGTTGCCTATGGAAGGAATCTGAGGGTGGAGGCTGGTGGCAGACAAGGTATCTCTGAGCAAAATGGATTGAGTTTGGTGGCAGGGATGTTGGTATGGATATTCCTCCATGCTTTGCAACTCAATAGGCCCTCAAATCTTTTGTGACAAAAGAGTATCTGTGATGCACACAAGCAGGAAGGGGGAAAGTGAGTTGGAACAGGGGTTGAATACCACCCTAAGGATTTGAGTCTTTTGCCAGAGAAGAAGCCTCTGGGCTAATAGCAGGCTGGGCCAGGAGCTCAGGGGACTTGCCAGCTTCAGGAACCACAGCTGACCATCAGAGGCCATGACATCTCTGATCTAGCAGCTCTTCTCCTTTCTTTCCCAGAGATCAGAGGGGAGAGCTCTTGGTTCCATGTGTTGGGGTGTCATCTCACGTGGAGCAGGGAGGTGAAGGACACACCAGTGAGGCAAATGGAAGACCTGAAGAGTGTCTGACTCTTCCACTGTTTTCACTAAGAGCTTTGATTTTTAGAACCAGAGACTATAGCAGGACCAGGAAAAAGAAATTAGGGATGGAGAAAGGTAGATGGAGGAGGAGGAAGATGAGAGGAAGGAAAGAATGAACTGGCACATATGACTGAGGTTAAGACAAGAGTTTCTGGAGTGAGAGTGGAAAGAGAGGAGAAGAAATTTGAATTGGATGATGTGTTGGGACTTTCTAAGAGGCAGACTTATGACCCGAGACACTCCCAAGAGACTGGGAGCCCTGAGGGTAGAAACCCAGTTAGAAGGTGGAGGAATTTTGGGCAAAGCGTTTTGGATCCATGAACTCATGGAACCAGGAGTTAACTGGAGGAAGCAAGGCAGGAAAGGTAATGAGGCATGAGGGATTGTGAGAGCTTCTCTGGCATCAAAGGCCAAGGAGACCAGGAAGAACCTTCTGGGCAGAAGAGAACCTGTGCTGATCCCTGTCCATTTCTATCAGAGCAATGAGGAAGCGTGACAAAGAGAAAAGAGGGAAATCTTTTGCTTTAGGTTTCCCCTTTTAGGAGGGGGGCTTTCACTGTAGAGATAGGTGGCCCTTCTATGCATGGCAGAGACCACCAGCTTGGTTGGGCTGGAAGTCGGGCATCTAGATTCCAGTCCCAGAACCTTATCTGCACGTGAACTTGCCTGGTGATGTGACTCTGCTTGTTCCATGAAGATGGAGGGGACAAATGAATAAATGGGATACCACTGTGCCCCAGTATGACATAGTTTTCTGGATTTTGTAATGGGGGCTTGAATTGAAGAAGGTTTGTAGACCTATCTCTATCTTTTTTTCTTCCCTCCCTCCCTCCCTTTCTTTTCTTTCTTCCTTCCTCCTTTTCTTTCTTCCCCTCTCCCTTCATCCCTCCCTCTTCCCTTCTTCTTTCTCTTCACTCCTCCTTCCCTCCATTCTTTACTTCCAGATCCAAGGATGAAGCAGAATGAAGCCTTTAAAAGAAGTAAGCATTCAAGTAGAATGTTCTTATCCAACTGACATCAGAGGCTTTAAAACAGACAGTGGTAAGGCTGGGATGAGAAATGTTTTGGAATCAACCTATCAAACAACCCCTGAGACAGGCAGACACCTTGTCAGAGACAGGGCTGGGGGAGGACCCCTGGGGAAAAGGGTCACCCTGAGGGCTGAATAACTTGGTGCCAAGAAATTTTGACATGGGAGATGAGATTAGCTTTCTGGTTTGGGTGGGCCTCAGTGTAGACACCTGGAAAGAGAATTCTCACTCACTCAGGTCCTTTCTCCTACCTCCCCTCAGCAGTCTGCCTTCAGAGGGACTGGCCAAGGATTAGAGGACTCAAGGATGCTGGGTTTAGGGACCCAACTGTGAGACACACCTTTGTTACAAGGAATGATCAATGGCTCTATTTAGACTGATTTCCTCTTTTCCAACCCTCTTAACCTCACCTTCTGGAACAAACTCTCATAAACCTGTGGGGACCAGCCCTTAAGAAGGTTTATGTGTCTGTGGGGAGGAGAGTGGAGAGAGTTGTCCCTGGCCTCACAGCTGCACAATCCCAGGAACACCTCCCCATGGGACAGCTGCAGGCTGCTCTCATCCCCTCAAGATTCATGCTGTGGTTTTCTGTTCATGTTGGGATGCAGACCTTGGGGAGGGGAGAAGGAGACAGGAACTTTGGAAGTATTGAAATCAGTGAAAACAAATGGTCCATTGATTTCTCTGTGGTTTGTGGACTTGGTCCGATTAAACATTCCCAGGGCCAGCAATGAGGAGTTCTCCCCCAGTGAGGAGTTCTGCCTGTTTAAAGGGCTATACATGCAGAACTGAGGGAATGTACAGCTCTGTTTAAGGGCATTCTTGTGGGAGTATGACTATTTTTAGTATCACATCATCACCCAATAGTCAGGAGCTGACTTTCCCCCACCATCCTCAGCCCAGGGTGGTGCCCTGGCCCTGAGAATGGGGGAGCCCCTTCCCCCCTGCCTCCAGGCTCTGGTCTTAGGGAAGTGGATGCTGCTTAAGTAACTGTCAGCTCCCCAGGAGGCTGTCACCTGGAGCTCACACCCCAGCCTGGAGGAGGAGAAGGGGCTGAGGTGGACTGACCGTGGCAGTCCCCCCACAGAGCTGAGAGCCTGGATGTGCCTGGTGCCCCGGTGTAGTCTGCAGAAAGGGACTGCTGCTGTGGGGAGCTGTCCAGTGCGCCCCCAGGCTGACATCCTGGAGGAGAGTTATTTGCTTTTGCTAATAGATCTTTGTCCCTTTGATTCAGAGGAGGCACAGAAGGAACAACCAGGAGAGAGTGATGGAGCTTCAAAAGGATGTGAAGTGGGACCAGGGCAGATAGGCAGCTGGAATGAGCTCTGAAGGGAGCAGGTGGGCAAAGATGGGGAAGAGAGGTGGGACGGGCAGGGTGCAGGACAACCACCTCGGGTTTTCCTTGTCTGGGGCTGAGCAGCCACTCTCTGGAAGCCTCTGCCTCAGTCCTGCCTGAGTGCATGGTGGGAGACAGGCAGAGCCCTGTACAATGGGAATGGCGAGCCCAAGACCCTGGGCATCACAGTGGCCCTCCCCACCCTGGCTCTCTGGTTGCCACAGGCACCTCCTGGGAGCAGAGCAGGGGTGGAGAAGGCAGGCCTGAGTGGCAGTCATAGTTCAGAGCTAGAGGCCTAGAGGAAGTGTCTAGAAAGATAGATAATCAGGAGGCTGGGAGGGCCAGCATTCCAACGCTCCTCCCCTCTGGGAAAGCTGGAGCTAAGGCCCCAGAGAGCTCAGGGGTGACACACCCAGGGCCAGGGGAGGAGCCAAGCCCCCCAAAGGACAGGCAGAAGCCTTGTATGGGAGGGCAGCCAGCTGGAACTGAATGGGGTTCCAAACAATGGGGAGGCAGTTGAAAGGAAGGAAGCCCCTCTCCATTGTCCTAGAGCTGAGGGAGGGCTCAGGGCCAGGGTGGGACCCGCAGGGGGTCAGTGAAGGAAGGGCCACTTGGTGGGGACCAGAGAGTTCCAGCAGGCAAGAAAAGAATTGTTATTGTGCTTATGGACACAGCAGCTCCCTGGCTCTGAGAGAGCGAGCAGGCAGTTTTTAGGCACTAGAAGTTTTTTGTGATGCGGTTCTAGGTAAATGAATGAGACGGAGTAGTCTATTCGGTCAGCCCACTGACTGCCCCCACTGGCCCATTCAAACCCAGGCAGCTTTGGACCAGAGTCAGGCAAAGTCTCTTGGCTGACAGAACCTGTAGCTGAGTCCCCAGGAGGGGGAAAAGGGGGTGTGGGACTGAAAGGGAGTTGGTGAAAACGGTGGAGGGTGAGAATGGGGCCTAGCCCCTTCCTCCCTCCCTATTGACTCTTCTGGAAGAGTGACAGTGATCGCTCCATATCCCGGGTCTGAGTGTGTTAAACCAGGTCATGGGGCTGTGTCCCTGGGGGTATGGCTTTCAGGGCAAAGGTGGCCCACCCCCACCTCCTGCAGAGGGGATGAGGGACAGGGAGAATTATGAGGCTAGAAGCTCTGCTCCTGACCCCTCCTGACCCCTGCCCTGCTCTGCCCCACCCAGCAGCCCCGGCCCTGCCCTGCCGGTCACACGGTCACTTCGGTCTTGCTGGCTGTGTAGCAGGTGTGGTGGCCCGGGATGTAGTGCAGCTGCTCCACTGTGTTGTGTCTGCGTGAGGCAAAGGCGTGGCGCTTGGCTGCTGTCTGACTCTTGCCCAGGGTGGCGTAGGAGTTATTGGAGGCACTGGGATGGGAGTGCATCTTGGTCATGCGGTAGCGTTCCAGCACGGGTGTGGACACAAAGACGTCCGTGTGCGAGATGGCCCTCGACAGCGACTGCTCGGGGAAGGCCGTCCGCTCTGGGGACAGCAGCGGGTCCTGGGAGTGCAGGCGCTCCGTGGAGAGCAGCTGCTCATCGGACAGGATGCGGTCATAGGGCATGCCGAACTCATCCGGCAGGCCCCGGTCTGGGGACAGGACCCTATCCTGGGACATGGCCCGGATGGGCCGGCGGGGTCGTTCCCTTGGCAGCGGCTTCTGTTGTGACATCTGGATGACGTTGAGGGGGAGGGTGCCACGGGCAGCCAGGTCAGGCAGGTGCCGCCGCCTCATGTAATACTCGTCTGCCTCCTTGTCGGCTGCAAGGGAGAGACAGAGGGAGAAGGCACTGGGGTGACACTGCAGCAGGGGCTCAGCTAGAACCCTATGTCCCTCCAGCTCCATTGCAGACCTCTAAATCTTCAGTGATAATATAGTCAAACTCCTTTAGTCATGGATTAGGACACAGGGGCTCAGACAGGTGAAGGCGAATGTGCAAACCAATTTCTGGGGGCTTCTTAAATGCAGATTCTGATTCAGTAGGTCTGGGGTGGGCTCTGTAGCAATGCTGATGCTTCTGGTCCCTAGACCACCTTGAGTAGCAAGAGATTAAGGGACTTCCTCAAGATCCCCAGCGAATTCATGACAAGAGTTGATGGCAAGCCTAGCTCCCTGAACTCCCCAGCTCCTGTATCTACTATACCATGGTCCAGAAACAGAATGGTTCCTTGTCTTGCTAAAATGCCCAAGTAGCAGCTCTGGAAGTTTCCTGATGAGGTTCAGAGCCTCTCCTTATGTAAGCTGGGCCAAGAACCATTCTCTTGTTAAAATAATGTAAGATGTTTCAACTAGGAGACACTTGCGAAAATATTTAAATGGTAACTTAGGAACATAGTAACACCTTCTTGAGAGTAACAGTGAATGAACAGGAAACCAGCACGTGGGCATCCAGTCCCCACACAACCACATAATCAGCCTACACACACTCCACCTGTGCCCACAACACCAGCAGGCTGGAGCAATCCTAGATGTACATCTCCTTCAGATATTCCACCCTCCTCTTGCCCAGCAGGCCCTCCCAATCTCACACTGCACTCTGTATCCTTGAACTTGCCCCAGTCTTGCATGTTTCAAATCAGCATTGCTCTAAGTTTAAGAAATGAGGCTTCCCAGAGATAGTCTAGATTTCTGCAAAGTATGGAAGTGCTACCTGCGTTCTAGGTGGTCAAGTGGGGTCAGTGATGGGTATCTTTTGCCTCCTATGCCACATTACCTCACCTCAGGACATCCATCAGATTCCTCATGTCACCAGAGATCCCCACCTCTAGCTACAGAGACCCAACATTTCACAATGAGGTAGCTGACGTGAACTTGGGCTGAACTTCCATTAGAGAAGTTAGGGTAGGTTTCCCCTGCAGCCACAAGCAAATGCTCAGCCCTGGGGCTCCAACTACAGTGGGGTGGTCATCAAAAGAGAGTCATGAGGGAATGGGAGGAGGCACTTCCAGGGCAGAAAGGCAGGAAAGAAGAGCTGTCCCTCAGTGTACTTCCTTGACCTTTTACTGTCTTTTTTTTTAGAGAGAGGAGAGAGAGAGAGAGAGAGAGAGAGAGAGAGAAGGAGCTTACTCTGTCACCCAGGTTGGAGAACAGTGGTGCAAGTATGGCTCACTGCAACTTCAAACTTCTGAGCTCAAGCAATCTTCCTATCTCAGCCTCTCCAGTAACTGGGAATACAGGCACATGCCACCATACCCGGATAACTTAAAATTTTGGGTAGAAATTAGGTCTTGCTGTGTGGTCCAGGCTAGTCTTGAACTCTTGACCTCAAGTGATCCTCCCTCCTTGGCCTCCCAAAGTACTGGCATTAGATGTGAGTCACTTTACCCAGCCATTGTAGTATCTTAAACCTATAAATGCACAGAGCCTCTGAGACTCACATGGCAGAGCTGGGATCACTAGATAAATTGGACTCAACTGATGAAATGGGCTGTGTACATGGGAGGTGGGGAGTCTCAAGTCTTCAGGACAGTACTGGTTGGGTTAAAGAGGGAACTGGTTTATGGGTCTCTAGAAGGAGTTTCAGAGAAAGCTCTGGCAATTGCTAGTCTCTATTCCAAGACAGGATATTTAGCAAGGAAGGCTCATGACTTGAAGAAGGCAGGTGAGGTGTGGGACTGAGGAAAGGCTTTCTTTTGCAGTAAAAATGATTACATGGGTGGAAGTACTATCTTATATTGGAATGTGGATCTGAAGATTCTATGACCTTTATTTATGGAAAGAATGAACTCAGGTCATAAAGAACAAGATGCAGTTTGTCTATTCTCTTTTTCCATTCTACAATTCCTTCTTTGTTCTTGGGATTCCACACCTGTCCTCCTGGGTATGGGGCAAGAGAGTGAGACACAAGAGAATGTCTTGGCAGCCCCAGAGACAGACTTCAGAACCCTGGGGGAAAATTTGACTTACTTAGCCTCTTTAGAGATGAGTACTTGCTAGGGTTGGTCTTCACTGCAGACTCGTAGGATGGGGGAAGGTGGGCCAAGTTCTGGAAAGAGCGGGAGAAGGAGAGGTCATAGGGCTCGGTGGCCGATGTCAGGATGTTGTTCATCCGTGGCTTCTCTGCAAGAAAAAGGAGGGGTGCATATGGTGTTAGTGAGGACTGGGACTGACGCAGGCGAAAGGGAAGGGACCAGGTTCTATTCCTGTGCTTTCTGCCTCGTCCTTGACTAGGAATCCCCAACCACCTTTACTGGCCCTCTGTGTTAGGACACAGGTGGTACTGTTGACTCAGTGGTACTATTGACTCAGTGTGTCATGCTCAGTTCCAGTTGTCAGCAAGCCTGGGGACGAGTGGTGTTTTAGCCACCACTGACCACCATGACAGTTTACCATTCCTTGAATAGGAGACTTGATTCGGAGTCTAATGAGTGGATTTTTTTTCTGCTACATCCCTGGGTTGTTTGATGAAAATGTAAGACCAGTGGAGCTGAGGAACATTATAAAATCATCTGTGTGAAAGTGATGTCCTGTTCCCGATAGCTTTAGGCAGCTCCAGTGAGACTCTGTCCAATGCTCCATCCATGATGTCATTCTAATTCTCATGTAGCCCTTTCCACCTTAGGCCTCTCCAAGCCCCACGCCTGACAATGCACTGTGAGCCACATGGCCATTTTATCTTTAATTCTTTCTTTGAAGCCCCTGTAGCCATCTCTAAGCTGCTGGAGGCAAAACTGCATAGCACATCATTCTCCTGTTTTCCTTCCTTCCCCTGAGATAGAGCCTTGAGATGTCAAAATCCAAAGAGAGAGAAAGGAATGTTGTTCAATGCCAGAGGTGGAAAAAAGAATAGAAGGAGAGTGGAAGAAAAAGTGAGAGGGAAATGAAGGGAACGACCAATGGGGGACACAATGCGGGGTGAGCTGGGCTCTGGGAGCCATATTAGGAATATCACAGGAGAGGCAAAAGAGAGTATGGGGCTGAGTAAGGGAGTAGCAGTGAGGCAGTGGGGACAGAAAGGTAAAGAGGTCCCTGGAAAGCAAGTCAAGCATGCTTGGTGCTTCACTGATTCAAGCAGGAAGAGCCACAACAAGACGTCATCAGGTGGTTGCTGGAGGAAATGATGATACCATTCCCAGAAGTGAGGCAAGTGGGAGGCTATAGTCTAGCTGCATCATCCCTCCATCCTCTTTGGTTTGGGACACCTCAAGGCCAAGAAGTTCTGAGAAGGGGCAGGCTCTAACTTTGGACAAATGTGTGGGAGAACTGTGATTCCCACACCTCTTCATACAGAGAGTGCTGAAGCAATGGAATCAGGAATTCTGTGGACCAGGAATGAGAGAGAAGTCCTCTTAGGCTTGTTCAAGGGTAGCTCCAAGTACAGGGGACTCCTGGTTTCTCTATCCCTTCCTGCCTGCATTGTCACCCCCAACATTGGGGACTGAGCCAAGGGAGCTCAGCCAATGAGCTGGTGTTCATGCCAGCTTGGTACATATGTGAGGGGGTGAGAGATGGTCTACATCCCTGATCAGAACATGCTGTACAGAATGAGCCTCCGTGGCATGAAGTCAGGACAGAAGCCAGGAAGTGGAATGAGCAGGAACTTGGGAGCACTGCTCTCCAGAGGAGGTGATAGTCTTGCAGGCCTTAGCTCTTGTTTCTTCACTTTGGTCATGTGGGAAAAGAATGAACTTCCCTCTGCCTATTGGTATTATACTCCCACTGAGGGCATCATTCAGCTCACCCACTTCCAAACGTAATATTTCTGGATACTGCTGCTCTATCACTGTGCTCCAGAACACACCACTGAGCCAAGGCCAGTTCTTTCTTGCCTCCGGCCTCCACCTTGGTTGCCCTTGCACGCTCTTCCTCCTGTTGAAATTCCTCCCTCACTCTTCCCCTGTCAAATATTCCCCTCACTCAAGGCTTTTCCCCGTGCCAATGTCACATCTTTGCAGCCCACAATAATGTGTTCTTCAAGCCTGTATTTCTCTTCTAGTCAGTTCCATTCAGTTTAGTGTCTAACTAACCTCAAATAATTTGACCTGAATTGGACTTTTTGCTCTCCAACAATTGCAATCTCCTTGACAACAGAGTCTAACTTTCCAATTTTTCTGATTCCTTCATAGTGCTTGGCCCCAAATAAGGATCCAGTTAATGCTCATTGTAGAGCATTAAGTAGACACTGGCTCCCTCCTCTCTTGATAGTTGTTCTGCCAGCTCCTGGGAAAACTGTAACATCCAAGAAAGGGGTGCAGAGAAGACTCTACTCCCACTACACTGTGAACTGCCAAGGGCAGGGGCCGGGCCTCATCAATACCCATCTCCTTGTCCCAGTTGGAAGAGAGAAGACAGGAAGAGAAGGAGGGAGAAAAGGTTCCTCCTGTTGTACTTGGGAGTCTGTGCCTGTGTTGGCTTCTTCTGGGGAAAGTCAGTTCTGTACTGTTCAGTTCTGTACTGTTCTTTGAGAATGTTATCGAGCAAGTGGGAGCACTCCTTGCTTACTGTTTCTAATTCATCTTTCTACTGCGGCTTCATCACCATAGGCATCCCCAGGTTCCCTGCCTCTGCCTTCTGATTTCCTCTTTCAGCATTCCTGCACAGATTGACCCCACTTCCAAAGCTTCTGTTGCTGCCTCCAAAGCTAAACTTACATTTTCAGTTCTAACCTCTCTCTAGACTTCATTTTTGCTTTTTGCAACTGACTGTTGTTTAATTTTTCTTGCATATCCTGTGGTCATGTCAAATTCCAGGTGTCCAGATCCAAACTCACCATCAACAGCTCCATTCCCTTCACACACTGGCTGTGTTCCTGATTCCTTAGATTGTGTTAATAAAACCCCCCATTCTTTTAATCAATCTCATAATTGGCTCTCATCAGTCATATTCAGTTAGTAATGAAGCCTTCCTAATTCTCTCTTCAAAATGTTTTGTTTCGCAACTCTCCTTTCTGTTCCCACTGTCAATATCACCATGGGTATCAGCTTCTTTTAACTGATCTCTGATTTCCCCAGTTCTAATTTTTACTAGACCCCACAACTTGACACATCTGATTATACCATTGCTTTCATCACATATTTCCACCAGGAGCACAGCACATCAAAATATTCCACTCTTCTCCTCCTAATTATAACATCTCTCAACCTCAGTGCTGAAACACAGCATAATCTGACATGAGAGTGGTGGGTCTCCCTACCAGGTGGGCTGTAGAATTTATCTTTGTTTTGAGTTTCTCTCTCACTAAAACTTTAATGATGTTTTCACTCTTTCACAGCAAAGAGACAAGAATGACTGATAGTTCACAATTAACATGGCTGTCTTATGTTCTATCGAGTTTTGAGCAGATACCAAAAATAGTTTTTCTCTGTTAAGTTGTGATCTGGTGGGAGGACATTACAGTCTAAGAGGGAAACATGGTTTTGTAACCCTTGGGGGCTGTGCTAACGTTCCTCTGCTCAAAATTTTCAGCCTCTTTTCCTGCCAAGAGGCTAAAGCCCAAATCAGTTCTGAGTTTTATCAAATCTTAATTAGTCTGGGGAAGAACAATAGAGTTTAACCAATTCTGATGTCCTTTGTAACCGATACCACAAGTAGCTTTGAGCAAAGGAGGGTATTAGGCTCCCTGCTATGGACATATGGAATGTATGACTGCAGGAATTGATGTAAGGTGCAAGTACAAATAAAGTCCAGAAAGGGTCTATCCCCTTTCCTTTCACAGTAGAAGACCACTCTGATATCAGAACAGAAACATCAAGGGGAAAATAGTCTCAGAGTAAGAGAGAAGCACTGTGGCCCTGGAGGAGGGTGGGCATATGGCTCCTCACAGCTCATTAGCTTCAGTGAGTCAATGACCATGTGTTTGATGCCCTGATCGGCATCCGTAGTTAGCATGATGCCCCTTGGAATGAGGATGGAATGCAGCGTGCTCTCAATCATCTCTCACCATGTGGAGGGATCTGGGTAGCATTGCTCAAAATCGGATGGTTATACTGATGATCACCTGAAAATCATAGAAAAGAAACGTTTAAAAAAGAGTTCAGGTATTCTACTGTCTCTCCAACATAACAATATCTCTCTTTACCCATAATGTACTTCTCTGACTTAGAGGAAGCACTTTTAAGAAAGGCATAGGTCATTATATTAGGCTCAAAGAAACTTCCCCTGTTGTTTCTGTCTCTCTCCTTCTGAAGCAGGACTTCCTCTGTCACTATGGTGACCCACCCACATCTTTGGATCTAGTCGACCAGCCATAGAGGCTTTGCTAGGGTAGGGGGTAGGTAGAGGAAGAGAGGGATGGGAACTCGGGAGCAATTGACAAGTACACATGCATGGTACAGGGGAAGTAAATTCTTTTGAAGGGGGAATATTAGGGCATAGTTAACCAAAAAGAGGATGCCCTGACTTAAGGTACTTATACTTTCTGGGGCTTTGATTTGTCCTTGGGTCTTTATACACAAGGGTCTAAGTGCATCTGGGATGTGACAAGCTGACAGGAAATGTCCACTGCCTGAGATCAGGAGTTCTAGATTCCAGGCACAGTCCTGCCTTTAGATGATGCAGTCCAGTAGTTCAGAAGCATTTCCTAGTGACAGTGCAAAAGCTGACTTAGATTGAATGATTCACAAAATTAATACAGACACAGTTGCCAAAGCCTGGAGTTCAAGCCATTCCAAGGGCTTCTAAAACTGTTTGAGTGGAGATTTGGCATATCACTACCATACACTCCGGAATTCTATTATTGGTTCAACTCAACATTGTATTCTTGTTTTTCACTGGTGCATGTATTTTATTTCAACTAAAGCAAGGGAAAGACTTTGCTTTAGTTTTCCTAAACCATGAATTATAGCTCTGTTCTCCTCGCAGGGCTAGGATATGTACTTCTCTTTCCTTATATATTGTTACTGAAACTATTTTTCTTACCTTTGGCATTATAATCTCTGAGTACTCATGCCCTAGCTCAGCCACTAAGTCTCATTTCTTGTTATATTCTCTAAATAGTAGGGCTCCATAAGGCTCATATGTCTTTGTGAAGACTTCAACTCTACTCCAACGTTTCCACCTTTTTATTCAAATTGATAGTTCCCAAATCGACACTTCTGTTCTGAGGTCCATCTGATTTGTAGGGTTAGATTTTAAATTGCTTATGGACATCCCTTAAAATTCCCATCCTTGCCTCAAACCATTAAGTCCCAAATTGAGGACTTTCTTTCATCATTGTATTCTCCAGTGGTCAGGCTTCTAAGGTATTAATGTTCCATGGACCTGGAATGTGAAACTTCAGTCATCTCTCCATTTCCCTCCTTTCATCCTCCATATCCAGTGAATCCAAAAGTCCTCTCCCTGTAGCCATCTTCTAAATTTAGGCTCACCATATATCTTTTTGTCAAGATTTCTTTTAGTTCTAGTCTTTGGCATTTCCAAGACAGATCATCCTGTATACTTTTACCAGACAAAATTTCCCAAACCAACGGAATCATCACTTCTCTCCTTTGGTTAAGATTGGACTCTCTAAATCATCAATCACACTATCCAGTGGGGATGTGGGTTTGGGAAGGAGACCAGAATTTCTCACATGAAGATACTGTCCATTCCTGAGATAGTAACAGCCAGGGAAGAAACTATGTGCCAAAGGTTGAATCAATTCTACACTGTACTTGAATTTAAGCATGAAGAGAGAATACAGAAAGGGAGACAAAAGGTAGATTTTTTTTTCTTGTTTGTCCTCTAGAGGTAAGGAGAAACCGGTTTCATTTTTTATGGTGTTGTTTGTTGGTTGGTTGGTTTTTAAGCAATATGGCAGCAACTACAAGAAATGGGAGAAACCCAGATTGAATGGTGAAGAGTGGCATTTAATGAGAAACACTTCTAGGCTTCCATGTCATGCTCTAGGTATCACTAGGGAAGGGTTATGTGTAATCCAGAATCAGTTAATAATTGCTGATAACTAATTATGCTTCATGACCTGTCCTAAATATTTTCACATGCATTTTTCAAAATTAATCTGCACAATTATCTTCATTTAAATGGGGACTGGAGTAAGGTAGAATAAATATATATATTATGGGCCTACCATTTGCTAGACACTATATAAAACTCTTAAAATACCTTAATAGAAATCTTTATTGTAATTTGCTTACAGATGAAGTCACAAACAGAATAAATGTCTTGAATTGACAAGTGCAGTGCTTTTTCTTTTGTTTAAAACACACTTAGATATTTCATTAACATTTTATTTCTTCCTACTTTGGCTTTAAGGGAAAAAAATTTTAAATTAAGTATAAAGATGAAAATTAAAACTCCTTTAAAATAACTACCACGACACTTTGTTTTATTTCTTTTGACTTTCCTCCCCCTATAAATGACTGTGTGTGTTCTTACATACACTCACACCTATCCCCCTACACCTCACACACATACACTCAAACAATATTAGAATGATCTCTCTTTTTTTTTTTTCTTGAGTTGGAGTCCCACTCTGTCACCCAGGCTAGTGACACTCACTGCCACCCCAGCATCGACCTGTTGGGCTTACATGATCCTTCTGCCTCAGCCTTCCAAGTAGCTGAAACTACAGATGCAGGCTACCACGCTTGGTTAATTTTTTATTTATTGTAGAGACAAGGTCTCGCCAAGTTGCCACTGGGGCTGGTCTCAAACCCATGGGTTCAGGCAATTCATTCGCCTCAGCCTCCCAAAGTGCTGGGATTATTGGCTGAGTCACCGAGTCCGACCGAATAATCTTGAGTATGTGTCATTTTGCACACAGATTGCAGTTATTAAAATGAATTAAAAATGATAATTTGATACTTGCACTTGTGAAAAATGGCAATTGTATGAGGCTATTGGTTGTGGCATTTTTACAGTAGCAAAAGCATTGAAACCACTTAAATGCTCATATTTTATTTATTTATTTATTTATTTTTTTGAGTTGGAGTCTCACTCTGTCGCCCAGACTGGAGTGCAGTGGCCGCTCCCGGCCACCGCAGCCTTGACCTGCTGGGCTTCGGCGATCCTTCCGCCTCAGCCTTCCGAGAGTAGCTGGAACTACAGGCATGCGCTACCACGCCTGGTTGATTTTTTGATTTATTGTAGAGATGAGGTCTCGCTGCCCAGGTGGGTCTCGAACCCACGGGCTCAGGCATTTCACTCAACTCAGCCTCCCAAAGGCGTGGGATTACAGGCTGAGCCACCGAGCCCGGCTAAATGCTCATATTTATATATGCACATATACACACAGATAAAAATATCTAGTTTCCCCATATGTAAGCATGCTGCATATATAACTTTAATCTTTTTTATACTTAATGAACAACATAATTTGAATATATTTTCATGTTTTGAAATATTCTTTGAAACATTTTATGTGGTTTCACAATAGCCCTTCTGTAGACTAGTCTATTCTACATGTCTCTATATAATTTAAACACAATCCCTACAAAAAATACTAGAATTATTTTCTGGGTGGGCCCTTTATAATACAGGCTTCCCCCATGAGGTAAGTGTTCTAGGAACACATTGACATCAGTGTACCAGCTAGTATTGTTATGAGAGGCTGCATTCAGCTTCAGTGAATTTTTTCTGGAGATTCTTTCAACACATTTACCCACTTCATGATGGGTGATTTATGAGTGCACCTGCCCCCATTGTGCTAAGTGTTAAGCAGTTTTGACCAAAAACTGTATGACCCTCATGCGCCAACCTTCCTATTTACCTGATCTCACCCTGAGCAACTTTTTTTGTTTTTTTCCCAGGAGAGAAAAAGTCCTCAAAGGGAAACAGTTTACCGACATGGAAGAGGTGAAACAAAAAATGGCAGAAGCACTGAAAGGCATCAAAATTGAAAAGTTCATAACTGCTTTGAGCAGTGGAAAGTATCTTGATAGGTGTATTGCATCAAATGGAGACTACTTTGAAGGTGACTGAAGTTTAAACATGTAAGAATAAATACACAATTTTAAAAATAAGTTGTTTTCTTTTGTTTCCTCTCATCTATTAAAAGCATTCCCCCATTTTGGGGGGGTATTTAGAGCATTTAAAAGTTAAATAAAGTTTCATCAAACAACTTTGAATGCAAATCTTTGGCCATATATTATTTTCTTTGGCTAAAAACTAAAAGCAATATTTCTAGGTCAACATGCTGTCAATTGTCTAGCAATATGACAAAGTAGATTGACAGATTTCCTCATATTGATCTATTCATCTATTTGTGAGAAATACCTTATTTGATTCTGGTGTCTTATTATTTCATTAAAACACTGGATTCTGCTTGCATACACACACACACACACACACACACACACACATGCGTGCATATATATATTCATAAAGAAAATTTGTCTTTGTCTTCCTTTTGTGCTAAAACTGTTGAGTTTTTGTATCAAGGTAATTATTTTGTAAGGTCAAATGAATAACAATGCATTTTTTGATATGCTTTGAGCCTTTTTTTTAGACTGGAAACACTCTGTCACCCAGGCTGGAGTGCAGTGGCATGATCATGGCTCACTGCAGCCTCAAACTCCTGGGCTCAAGCTATCCTCCTGTCTCAACCTCCCGAGTAGTTGGGACTACAAGCATGCACCACAATGCCCAGATAATTTTTATATTTGGGGTCTTGCTTTGTTGTCCAGACTGGTCTTGAACTCCTCACCTCAAGTAATCCTCCCACCTTGGCCTTCCAAAATCTGGGATTACAGGCATGAGCCACTGCTCCTGGCTAAGCCTATTTATATAGCATATAGCATATGACATATCTGTTTTTTGAAAGTCTGAAGAAATGCAACAATGAAAACATGGTATCTTCTGGGGAGTCCTCCTATTAGCACAGAGCTAGAAGCTTGGCTGGTGTTATTTCATTGTCTGCACAGTCATTTTGAGAGGTAGATATTGCTATCATAGCCAATTTAGAGGTAAGAAAACTGAGGTTTGGAAAGGTTTTCCCAGTGTTACATAGTTAACAGGTGAAGCTGGAATGCAAACTCAAGTAGGCTGGTGTTAGAA